TTTCGCACATGATGCCCATATGTTTTTGAAGTCTGGCAGCACTGTGCCTTGCTGATATTCTCAACGATGCTCCACGCACGCGGACTCCGCTGGGTTTCCTTTCTTTAGATGAGTGAATGAGTGTTAGTGTATTGGTATAGGTGTTTGTCTGGGTGTGTGTGTGTGTAGTTGATTTAACTTATTTTACAATATATGCGTGTGGCAACCTCTGTATTTAGCTGTGTTCGGTATGTATGTATATGTGTGTGTGTGTGTGTTTGTTTGTGTTGTCTTTAGACTTTTAGCTTAAACGCTCGCTACGCTTGCTTTAAAGCATATTTATTCATGCGATGGCTGCTGTTCCGGAAAGCCGCTAACCTCCGTCTGCTCCACGACCTGCTGACCATCGATCGTATATTGAATTCGTAGACGCATGCGTAGCACAGCCTATTATATATAGAGAAGCGGGAAAAGTTTTAGAATTTGGAAATTTATCAATCAATAAGCAAGAAGAAAGGAGAACTGATAAAGATTATTGCCTTCCCTTCACTTTTAGTTAATTTGACTAGTATAGTTAATTACACTCTTTCATATTAACATTGCCTACATACGTTTTTTCCTCTTTGATTTTTAAAATTGTAAAGTTAAAAGAATATCTTATCTAATCTGAGAATGTATAGGCTCTTGGACAGAGGCAGTTTATATCCATAATGGATATATAAACATAAAAGAGAAACCCCTTTTAGATTCTAGGATAGTCTTAGCTACACTATTTCACATTTACATCTCCCACTGAACTTCTGTGCTCTTTTTATAGCCCCGTTCATCCACTTACATTGGACGTAGCAACAACTCGCATTTCCTGCGTGATGACGCCACCTGGAGGCAGCACCGAGCCCGACGGCGTCAGCATTTGCAGTTTAAAACTCTTCTGCACGGCCGCCTGTGAAATACAATCAATTTAATATACAAAAGTCATTCATCATTCAAACAGCAAGTAGACGCACCTGCAGCAAATACTGCTCCAATGTATTGTCTGAGCTATTTGTGGTTGTCATAAATATTTTCATGCAGTCACTGCCCGGCACTGGCACCAGCTGCACCAGCAGTCCGTTCTTGTCCAGCGCCGTTAGCTTGGGATCCTTTGGAGGCTGAAATTTAAGTTAACAATAATTGAGTACAGATGCCAGCTGGATTATAGGGAATTAAAGAAGTCTCACTCACCACTGACACATTGTTAGAGGCCGTCGTGGGATTCAGTTCACCCAGCAGGCTGCCGCCAATGGACGGCATTGCGTGGGATGGCGCACTGCCTCCAACGTTAAGGCCACCCAGCATGCTCGATAGATCGTTACCGTTTGTGGGCATGCTATTGGGCATGGAGTCGATGCCACCGAAGCCGCCCAGATCGAGTCCGCCGAGCATATTGTTCATATTGGCGGCGCTGCTATGATCACTTCCCAGATTCACGCCCATGACGGGCGTTGCAGTTGGTGCTGACATGTCCAGGTCGAGCAAGTCGAGCAGATCCTGATTGTTCGACACCGGCTCATCGTTGTTTGCATTTCGCGTATTCTTTTTATGCACCGCATTCGATAGGTCTGTTGCCATGGCCAAATCGTTGGCGCCCGCCGACAGATCCGTACTCCCCAATAAGTCCAGTAGGATATTCTAAAATATCAAGACAATATAGAGAACACTCAATATGGGTGTGTATATTTTATAGTTTACCGTATTGTCCCCCATTGTGTTCATATTGCTTTCGATTATAGGATGCGTACTGTTGCCGCCAATCTCGATGCCATTCTCGATAACGTCCGGACTATTGTCATCGAAGGAGCCGCCGCTCTCGCCATTCTGTGAACTAATACGACTGATTTGCATGGCGGGCATCTTTTCCAGCAGGGGCGGACGCAGGTGCTTATAGCTGCCAAAGAGTTGCGTGAACTCTACGCCGCGTTGCTGCAGATCCACATTCAGATGGCTGCCAAAGGAGGTAATCAATGCCTGGATCTCTCTGCAATAGAAGATGTTTGATTTTTAGCATGTGAACCACTGACCAGGAGACGGTATAATATGTGTCGTCACTTACTCCACGCACTGCTGCAGGCGCGTGCTCAACTTGGCCAGAGAGACGAGCGCATATTGCTTGCTTGTTGTCGACACTTGAGCAGAGGTTAAAAACTTATGATACACAGCGATCAGATCGCTCTCCGTTGGACGCTCGAACTCTGTTCGAATAGATTTGGATGAATTGGATAAAAAAGATTCACGAATGATATGACTACTGTCCACTCACCATCCTCATTCGCGCCGTACATGAACAGATCACCGTACTCGCCTATGGCCCAGACGGCAACCTGCAGCAACGGCTGCTTGTCCTCACAGTGATTGGACACCTGCAGCGATTCCCAGAACCGATTCGTGATATATGTCTGCTCTGGCACGGGACTGCTGGACACCAGCTGTATGGTCGATGAGACAACATCGTCACGCACATAATTGCCAGCAGCTATCAAGACGCTCAACTGCGTGTCGAGATGCCAGCGTGAATTGGGCGAATAGCGTTCGGCAGCCAATATCATGCCAGAGCTGCATTGCGCCTTGAATTCAGCGTCGGCCTTCTCGAGGAACAGCAATAGCTCTTTCGTCATTGTACGTATATTTTGTGCATTGATTAGCGCAAAAGATAGCTCCATCGCACGTCGCCTGATCGACACATCTGGATCCTTGAGGCACTCCAATATGGTGGTGCGATGCCGCTGCACAGCCGACGTATCGGCGTGCACCGTTCGCAACAGTGTATTCAGCGCCACATAGCGTATATTCTTGTCCGAGTTGAGTAGAAAGCGTCCCAGGATATTCACAGCCAAGACGCGCAGGCCGCCCTCCGAACTGGAAATGATAATAATAGAATATATTAATAGTATAGTATAATACGGTATTCATATAGTATGCACTCTTACCGTATATCCATTATGGATAGCACTGTCTCATAGAGAATGGTATTGCCAACATTCTTGCTGGTCTCCGTATTGGTGGCCACCTGTGCCAATATATCGTTCATGGCTTCTGAGGCATCCGGATCATTATGGCCGAGTATGCGTAATAGACGCAGGATTTTCACCTGCAGGAACGGATCGCTGACGCCGCTGACATCGTGCTCAGGTGAGTAGCCGCCCAGGATGAGGTTCTTTAGGATCCGCACCAGATTCGGTACGATCTGTTATGAAATAGAAAGAGACAGAGCGAAAGAGAGAGAGAGAGAGTACCTGTGCATAAACAGAGTGAACAAAGAGAGAGAGAGAGAGAGAGAGACAGAGAGAGAGAGAGAGAGAGACAGAGAGAGAGAGAAGGAGAGAGAAGGGTGTGTGTATATTTGTGGGTTAAAGCGAGTCAGAACTAGCTACTGTATAATTTTGTGCGTGTGCAAGAGTTGGAGAAAGAGCATAAACAGGAAGTTCGCAATAAAAAGTCAACTAAGTAAACAAATGTAAACCATATCAAATATCACAGCCGGAGAGACTGTTCCAAAGAAAAGCTGTACGCAATAGCTACTTCAGAATATCGTTCGTGTTTATAGTAAGAGCTAAACAAAGGTGTTTTCAAAAATAATATACAAAATATAATATAACAAATACAACAACAAGAATATGGTGAACAGGTATACATATATAGGTATATACTTATGTATAAAAAGTTTAATTTGAGGCACAAATCACAATCATACCTCTCGATTTCCGCTATCCTGGCAAGCAAATTACAACAAATTTCATTTTGTGTTTGCGCGGTATTCGATCAAAAACAAACGAAGCGTTAATTTGTAATTACAAAATGTCGTTAGGTGTCAAAAGTAGTACGTGGCAAAGCGATAAACATTAACGATAACAGTTACAAAAAAAAAATTTATTACACTTTCTTTAGCCGAAGGCGCAAAAGCTCAAAAAATGGCAGCAAAAATAAAACAAAATTAAACAAATAAATGAGATACACAAAATAAAAGACTTTTGATATGGAAAAGAAACCACAATTACAATATACATCAAGAGGGCCGCCCAAAATGACTAAAATGCGGTTGGATCGGAACTCAACAAGTCAACAAGCCGTCCGGGGCGGTTAGTCTTTGAAGCTCTATATGTATGTATACATATATAAATATATGATCGCTTTCCACTTGAAATACCGTTAGCTGTTTGTCTGCCTGCCCGCCGTGGCGTGTCGGCCACACCCGTCCGACCGGCCAACAACTTACCTTTTTGAAATGCATCAACGTATCCGAACTGTTCTCGCACATCTCCGTGATGAGCGTGACGCCGGTAATCAGGATGCCTGCAATGATATGAGATATGAGATGATTGGGCATTGATTGTACTGGAAATGGCATCAAGCGTACCGTGATTCTTCTCGCTGAGCAGCGAACGCGTGGCCGGCAGAAAGATCTCCATCAGTTCGGGCACACGGCGAATGACTCGGAATGCACACAGTGTCGCCTTCTTGCGGATGTACGTGTTGGGCGACTTCATCAAACGCTCCACCTCGCTGGCCAGGTCACGTGCCATTTCCGGCGATGCGATGGCGCCCAGTGTGCACAGCGCTAAGCCCACCACGAACTGCGTCGAGCTGTTCAAATCGCTGCAAGTAGCAAGGTCAAACACAATTAATTAGAAATAGCTTGAAAATAAGCAAAGCTCATTACCTAATCGTAATTACCAGCTTTAAAAAAAATTTACTTTCTATATCTAGTGATTACAACTATATAAAAAAATATATAAATTTATTAGTCATAAACAACTTGCTAGTGACTAATATAGTTGAGTTACGTTTATAGTACGACAAACTGGAATTCCGTATGCAAACCGGATTATTGTAATCATTATCATGCGGCTCGATTGGGCCAATTGTGATTACGCCAATTTATAGCTCTTTCTGTAGTTCTTTCATATCTAATGGCCTTCTAGGTAATTATGATATTTGCCGAATTATTTTTATTATATTAAAACTTTCAGTGGATATACATACATAGTTAGGATCAACCTCAGCAACAAATTCAGTTGACTCAGCTTAAAGTATCTACAGAGTTTATACAGATGTACGTGTATAGCTTAATTAGCTATATTATTGCTGAGCAAATCACACTGAAACGATGCTTTAGAGAGATAAATATATAGAGAGAGTGAGGGGGCCCTAAAGATGCACAAGCTGTCTTTTAAAGTCATTAAAAAATATCCTAAGCCCATTGGAAATCGAGTTTCTAAATTGTAGATTAAACCTAATATATTCTATATCAATCTGCATTCTATAAAGGTCAGTAAGCTCCCAATTTCAATAGCCTAAACAAATTGAACATGATATATATTTGATTTGCTAAACAATCTGATTTCTAGTCCCTTTATACTAACTTATCATAGCTTGATCTGAATCCCGCTTCTACAAATAGTAATACCAAGTACTAAATACGGGCTGGGAACTAGGCTAATCTTTAGATTATATTCATCTGCTGGGGATTATCCCTGTTGAACTTACTTTTTTAAACAATTCGTAATCAGCAAATGGACATCTTGACGTTCATCCAATAACAGCATAGCACCCAGATAGCCAATCCGTTTATCTGTGAAACGCGTGCTGGCCGTCAGTTTGAGGCACTCGAGTTGGCCAAAGTGCGCCGGATAGCCGAGCATGTGTATGTACAGCAGCTTGGCAATGTTGCGACAACTGCATGCAACAATCAGTGAGCGAGCGAGCGAGCGAGAATGAGATGGAAAACAGGTTAAAATGGCCTGAGAACAATTATTAATGCAATTTACTGCCCACACTCACCGCCAGACGGAGTCCTCCTCCCGGAATGTGCTGCGTATGTAGGCGCACTCTTTGTTAACCACGGCCCGCTCCTCGGCAGCGGTGCGGGCGGCGCGTATCTGTCGTATAAGATCACGCAGTCGTGTGGGCGTCGGCATTCTGACTGCACGTGGGCGAAAAAGAGAAGATACAAAGTCAGACAGAGAAGAAGCGATTGCTTAAGGGGATGGATGGAGGCTGTTTACCTCTCTACCTCTCTAACTCTTTACCCTGCTTACCTCTTTCGACGGCCTCTGTGAATGCCTGCCTTATGGTGGCCATATTGAAGGCTGGATTGAATCTATTGGGCGAAGAAAATGTATATTAAAAGAGGTTGATTAGTACATAATGTAGAGAGAAGCGAGCGTAAATATATATATTGCATTTTATGCATATATATATTAATGTATGTAAACGTATAATGTATTTATTAAAACTGCATACCCATGCTCGGAATTCATTGTGAGGCGTTGCGGCTGCTGCTTCTGCGGCTGTGAAGCACTTTGGTTGTGGCACGCAGACTAAACTGCAGTTGTTGTTGTTGATGGTTCTTTATCTTGATTTTGTTCTGCTGCTGCTGCTTCTTCTACTACTTGCCGGCCTATGCTTTTAAGTTTGCACTCAATTGTTATTGTTGGTGTTGTTGTTTGAATTATTGTTATTTCAGCTGCGTTGGCAGCGAGGTGGCAACAGCGATCATATTCGAACTAAGTCGTTCGCCGTTTCGATCAGTTTGCAACACTCGCTGCGCAGCATACGAATAACGATAACAACAACAACAATAGCAACAACAACAATATCTATGACAGCCGGCCGCTATTCAATTGCAGTTATTTCTTCACTTGTCGCTATATCTCCCTCTCTCTCTCTCTCTCTCTCTCACAGTCACTCTCCCACACACATATTTGATGCTCTCTCACTGCAAAAGTGTTAACAGTGCACATCAAACTCCAATTCACTCGCTCTCTCTCGCAGTTCCTTGATGTTGCTTTGTTTTATCATTATTAACACAAATCACAGTTCACAAACACAATTAGTAATCAACTTATTTCTGTTATGAAATGTTATACACGTACACAAATAGTGTGTGTCTGTGTGTGCGTTTGCCGAGGCTTAAACAAATATGTAGTTATGTATATGTACATGTGCATATGATCTGTCGCCCGCTCAATGCAAACAAAAAGCTTTACGCTCACTTACACATGCATACGGTCTGACATACGCATGTACACATACATACATATTGGTCATATGCATGGACATTAAAGTGCCTTTTAACTGGCATCAGTTACATACGTACAAACATACATACGGTCGTATTTATGTAGCTGGCAGTGCTAGCCAACGAAGCGCAGCGTAGCACAAGTTGAAAAAGTAGGCTAGGTGTGTAGGGTGTTAATTAAGACGACAAAAAGGTGGAGGCTCACACAAATGCAAAACCATTGACGGCTGATGCTACTGATGAAAATGAAATGATTAATTCAGTTGTGGGAATAATGCGAAAACCGCACTTGAAGCATGAGCTGAGCCGAGTCGTCGATTAGCGCGCATCGAGTTGACAGCAACACACACATACGCACGCACACACTCACACGCGCTCAAGCAAACATCAAGAGAGGCGTATTAAATCCAATTGGAATATATGAATACAAGTTCTAATTACATTCTTTCTTGAAAATTTTCTAATATGAATAACAAATAAACAATGCAATGCAAGTTCCCAAATGAATCGTTAACAACTAATTCAGCTTTTGCTCAAATGCCTGAAAGGCAGTCACAGTCACCAGTTATGGCCAAAACCAAAACAGCTGCCGTCATTGCTTCTTGGTATCGATAATTGGATATCGATATGGCACAATGGATATAGTATCGAGTGCATTGCATGCGTTGCAAAAAATATATATATATTTTTTAGCATGAAAATACACGTATGGATTGGTGCACACTCACTGCAATCTAAAACGTATTATTTTTAAATATTGTATTACTTTCCGCCGTTGTTGAATAAAGCAATTTCATTGGAAAGCTCAAGTCCACAGACATCACATACATATACACAAGCACACACACACAGAGAGATATACATGGCACACAACACACACACAAGCGCCCACTGAGTTAAGCGTATGCTTCTTTTTGGCCACACGAAAAGTAAAACATAAATTAATTTAATGTTGACCGCAAACACAGCAAGATGCTTTTCTTTGTTGTTTTATGTTTTGCTCGCACTAAATATAACCGTTTGCTTTATAGCCACCTGCCGCCTCCAACTTCCAATGCAAATTTTTACAACGCGACAAAAATGCTCGTAGAATGTTGATGATGAGCGCAACAGTAGTAGTAATAGTAGTTGTAGCAGCAGTGAGAGTGAGAGTGAGAGAGCGCTAGCAAGCGGTTGACATTTCGTTTTTGACATTAGCAGTGCTGTTATCGCCAGCTCGCTGTTATCGATAGACCTATTGGCCAAGACGACGGATTCGCGCATAACGTCATTTTTTTAAAATCACAAATCCCCCATTGCCTGTTTTTGCAACTCACCTGCGATTGTTTTCCGGTGGCAAAACACTCCAATCCTGTTCATAGTACGGATACATACTTGCAGCGTGACGTTCTCGTTTGTCCCACAAGCAAACAACAGTGGACAGTAACTAAATACACAAATGCTTACACACACTAAAACTCAGCACAGTTACTGACACTGGAATTGAGTGATAAGCGGCTACGGTGTTCCACATAGGCAGTGTGCGTACGTGTTATCTAATGTACATTTATAAGTAATTACGGTTCCAATCCCCTCTCTCCATACACACACGCACACATATAGACAAACACACGCGTGCGCGAAACGCTACTGCTCGATGCGCTTTAGGATTTACTACAGCAGGGCAATCATATTCTCTTAACGGCGTATAAAAGCTAATGGATCAGCGGATCTAGGCCAGGAGCGACAATTTGATTATGAGAGGCGGCCCGCGCAAGTCTAACTCTGGCAAAAGACTAAAATTATGAAGTTCGAATCCCTCAGTCCTCGCCGACGCTTGCTGCACAGTTCAGGTGAGCGTTTGCATTTCGCTGCGCATAGATAAACCATATGCGATAACTATCGTACTAGACGCTCGCGTTGGTGGCATGGCAGCCATGGACATGGCATGGCATTCGTTCTGAGCTCTCGATGAATACACATAAACTATACTAACTTATCTTTTAGCTGATAACAAGGTAAAAAAAACCGTGAGAACAACACTTGACACACGTACATGTCTATAATAAAAAATATTTAATGTATGGATAAGGCAAGTTGTCACCGAATGACTATGCGACTGGTGAGAAGTCAATGAAAGGTGAAAGCCGTTGCGAGCGCTATACACTTTTTTTTTTTTATGATTATCCTTGTACTCAAATTGTGTGTTTTTTTTTTTTTTTTTTCGTTTCTTGTATTTTATACGTGCTTAGGGCTATGCTCTATCTAAAGCAAGATGCTATTGTACAACATTGTCACTGATTTCTGTTCTGTTTCGGAATTAGTTCGACCCTTTCGTTGCGTTTGAGTTTCGTATCGTAGGGAGCTCTCTCAATCGTTTTCTCGCGGCGGACGCACTAAGGAATGTCGCTTGATCGCCTCCACCAGCCATTTGATGCCCTCGTCAACGCCTTCGCCGGTGAGCGCAGAGACGGGTATCGTAAGGCAATCGCGTCGTCCGATCAGTGCACCAGCCTGTTGGAATACTGGCTTTATTTCCCGTACGCCCATCACATCGGGCAGATCCTGCTTGTTGGCCAGTATTAGCAGTGGTACGCCTGAGAGTAGCTCGTTCTTAATCATTTTGTCTGTATGATCAGGAATCAGGAATTAGATAGAGGATTCTTGAGATTAGGTGCACAATTACCAAAAATAACTTTCGACTCGTCCATTCGTTCCCGATCATTGGAATCTATCACATAAATAACGCCATGCGATTCCTGATAGTATTTGTCCCACAGCGACTGCAATTCCTGCTGGCCACCCAAATCCCAGAAATTCAATCGGACGCCGTGGACATCGATGGTGCCAATGTTGAGACCGACTGTCGTTGTGATTTTAGCCGGATTCAGCCCTTTGTAATTTTTCGTAAATTTCGTTTTGGCCGCCTCCAAATAGGTCTGTCAACAGAAAGTTGCATATTTACAGTTGCAGACGTGTCGGAGTCGAAGCCACTTACCGTTTTGCCAGCGTTGTCCAGGCCCAGAATGACGACGCAGTACTCGTCTTTCTGTGTGAGATATTTGTAGAAGCCATGCAGCAATGTGTACATCTTTGAAATGCCTTAGGGTTTTGTGCAATATTAAAATTGCATTCCAAATAAACAATGAATAAATATAAAATAAAAACACAATCAAGGGCTGTTTCTATCCGGAACGGTGCCAGCATACGTGTGAGAATTCCTAGCTGGATTTCGAGTATGCGATCACGTCTTAAGGTAACTTGCACAAATAATAAACTTTATGTTCAGTTTAAAGTTTATTTTTCATCTCATAATAAGTCGTAATTTAAATATTTTTAAATAATGTTAATTGCAATATTCTTAAGATTCGATTGGCCAGCCTATCGATAGTTGAGTTTAGAAGCTAGCTGCCTAACAAACAGCTGATAGTGGCAGCTCCATGATTTGTTTACATTTTTACTACACACTCTGGCAGCGCTGTTCAGTATTGTCAGCACTCCAGCCAAATGGAGTGTTGTAAAACAAGGTTCTGCCAGTTAACGGTTGTTTAAACGTATAATAGAAGCATATGACTGTTAATTATTTAGTATTACAAAATAATATAAGAATATGTAATATGCTAAAAGGTAAACCCCAAAAACCTTTATTTGTATACCAAATAATTACTGGTTATATTGAATTAGGTTCATAACTATTTCTCTAGTAATGGCAATATGCAAACCGGTTCTGTACTGCTGGGGTTATCCGAAAATAGTGAAAGCGTTCTGGCATTCAAATCGAATAGAGCAACACATATTGTCCTGAGAATATCAGTACATTTATCCATCCATACGTTAAAGGGGTCACCCGACACGTCTCCAAGCATATTGCGTACATCTGATCCGCTCACCGGCGGCTTGTATGATTTCATGGCTTCTTTTCGCGCCTCACTGGACTGAAGTAGCTTATCATCGGCCTCATCCAATGATAAACCCTCAAATCTATAGACAATTAGTTAAGCAGTGTCGATATTTAATATATATGTTATACTTGTTAAAATGATAATTGTAAGTGCCAACGGGAATCTCTTTAACGCATACTTTTGACTTATTCTTTCCCTGTGGGCAGGGAGCGAATTCCATATTATAGCACATTTTATGCGGATCGCTGGAAGTGGGCCTAGTTAAACTCTGATATATTTGGTATATGCCGTGCACTTACTTAAGAAATGCTAAGTTAATGGAACATGCATCGGCTGCGCCTACACCCTCATCTATTACCACTCTGAGGACATCATCCATATTGCAGGAGGCCAGTAGAGCTCGGGTTATAAAAGTTCGGGCTGCTGGCACAAGTTTCGCTCATGTGATTTTGCTTGAATAATTATATATGTACATATTTATGTGCACTTACGTGTTCTGCCGCTGCGTAGATTCTTGGCACATATCGTATTGATGGTAAAAACGAGACCATGATGATTTTCGCTAAACGTATACCCTGGCAGGAGGCCAGCATAGCAGAGTGACATGAAACGCTCCTCTTTCACTTTATACTTTCCCTGAGGCTTGTCACTAATGATGTGTGCTACCACAAAATAATACTGGTTCATAGTCTCTATCAGAGCATCTTCCGTATGGCCCATCACACGCTGAGTAGTAATCATATATAGGGTCTGATCGCGTGAATGTAGAGTCAAGTTTCTCACTTACGCAATGCTTCTGGTTTAATACGATTGAGGAGCAGCCGCAGGATGCCTTGGCTGCGGGACATAACATGTTCTGCGGTAAAATGGCGTCCATTTGTCTCAAAAATAACTGTAAATGGAAAAAGTGTCTCATATTGTTATCGATACGATAGCATCGCGCGGTCACTTTGAAGTCAGATTAGAGAGCAAGAAATTCGAGCTTGTCATTCCCTCGGCTTGCTTCCATACGGCATAAGCCGATGATAAGCTGACACCGTCAGGGGGCCAAGGCTAGTGCAAATTTGCGTGCATTTAATTGGTCAACACATTATCGGCAGCTGCGCCACAGCTTAGAACTCAGCTCACTCACTCAGTCACTCGGCCGAATGATAAACAAGCAATAATAATAAAATATCGAAATTGAAGTCGAATAAGCAGCATTCAGAGAGACGGTGAAGCTAAAGGAAACCCTTGCACCTGAGCTAGCGCTGGACTTGACACACACACACACACACACACACACACACACACACACGCACACACACACACACACACACACACACACACACACACACACACACACACACACACACGCACACACACACACACACACACACACACACACACACACTCACACATACATGTATGCATGTGTGCATTTAGGCATATTGGCCAAAAGCGAATTCGCGAAATAAACAAATAACAGCAACAGTGTCAAGAAAACGGAACTAGTTCAATGACTGTGCGCTGCACGGCCAATGTGTTTTTACAGTTGTAATTGCCTAAAGAAGCTAGTTACAGTTCGAATTAGTTTTGTTTTGAAATAAAATTGCCACCAACTGCCACAAATTAAACTAAACAAAAATGAAGCTAAAAACATAGCTGTGGGGCATGACCGACTGCATGATGCTCGTTCACGGAAATGAATTAAAAAGCAAAGCTTAAGCTAAGATTAACACTAATCCAGTTGCTAATTTAGATAGTCCCAGAAGACTTAAAAGATTACTTTTTATTTCTGTTCTGTTAAATTTGAAATATATCACAAAAGCTGGGAAAGATATCATCTTTCCACAATTCCGAAATTCACTTGGTCAGTTGTGCTTAGCTATGGTTGGACTTTTATAAATATAATCAAATGAGAATTCCTTGTCTTCATATGGACAGACGAACGGATATGCACAAACAAACGAATGTACCCTGCTCAGATCTTGAACGAGTATTACAAAGCCAATTGATAATTGTTAATTTCGTTATTAGCGAGTGACTGCTGTTGGTACTGCTACACTTGCAGAAATGCACAATTATGTGTGAATATATTTGCGTGAATCGTATTTGGCGTTTGTCATTGAGCATTGACAACTTGCAGCGAGTGCGAGCCATACGAAAAGAATCTAATAAATTCGACACGCAACGACCTCATCGTTAGTGTGCTGCTGACACAGACCTCACAACAAAATTATATTAAAAGTAAATATATATAATTGCATCTTGGTTTCTGCTCATGATAATCATTAACAATTCGCTGTCAGTCGATGCCAAACGCATAACGTTGTCATTAGCCTCACAGCAGATTGCATATAAATTTGACTCACATGTTCGAATTCCACCTCGGCGCCGTCAGCCACGCCCTGCAGTTCAAGTATGTACTGAGGAAAACTGGCTTTTACTGATGCCAAAGTTTCGTCATAGATTTGTTCTGTTTAAGTTCGATTAGAGGAGCGAAAATTCAATTGGATATCGCACAGGTACTCACTGCCCTTGGGGGTGTTGTAGAGCGGTAATAGGCTTTGGTTCAGAATCTGACATTGAGTCTGAAGATTTCTTATCATCGAGCCAAATGTACGACCCTAAATAGCAAAGAAATGAGTAACAGCTCTCTGGGTGTGATACGATTATCCAAATTCTACTCACCATATCAAAACCGACCTCGTAGTGGGAGCCACGGGTGTAGAGTATGGGTATCGCTTGGCGACGAACGTGCGGCTCGGCCGAGCATTTCTTGCATTTTTTAGCCGGATCGTCCATTCTTATATTAAAAGGGTTATTTTCTTAAAATCTACAATTTTGAACAATACTAATGAATTTTGAACAATACCAAACAAGCCAAAATTTAACTAAAATTCTAATTTTAAGCCTGAAATTGAGCTAAATAAAAATGGCTACTGAGCGAATAATAAAGATTATTAAATAAAATAAATGTTTAATTGTTTTTGCTTATTTCAAATATTACTCATATAAATTAAAATTTGCATTAATGGGTAGGAATTTATTGATAACTCTGCAAGGCTTTCCCAATGTCGATAAGACCAGTTGCTTTCAATTTTAAGCTTATCTTATATAATCTATTTACAGAAATTGCTAATTATGGTCGCCCAGCGAAACAATATTCATAATACATTTTCCTTTCTAGATTTGATGTTTACATTGAATAAAACTTCTGACGTGGAGCACTGCACGACAAGCATAAAAATAAATTTGTATAATTGCATAATATTCTAATTTTAATCATGGTCTCGTTACTTGATATACATATCTAGTAACAGGAATGACTGCAAATTCGAATCAGTAAGTGCTGCCCATAGCCGTTTGTAATTTGAATACTGCTATCGTATATATTATATCAGTATTGGTACGATAGTGCTTTACTTTATATCGATTAATCGAAAGGATGCCAGTGGCAGTTATTGCAACTGACAGTTCGCTATCGTTTATTTTATATCAGTATTAGTACGATAGTGCGTTATTTTATATCGATTAATCGAAAGGATGTCAGTGGCAGTTAAATATTGCAACGGTCATTTCGCGTGCCGTTGATCGCTGACAAAGTGATTCATTTATTGTTCGCTAATGATTAATTGCCATGATCATTGAGATGTTTTTTTTATTTTTGGAAAAGTAAAGACTATTGAGGCCAGTAATGTAGCCAAAATAAGGGGAACAAAAATGATTAATGGCAATTTCTGTTGTGTTCTTTGTTCTTCGTTAAAGTAAAAAAATAAAAAAACAAATGTTTGATATATAAATAAATAATATATATGATCAATTATTATGAATCACGCGTACAGATTGTGCTCTTTATAGAATTGATATATTCATTTATAGTATATGGATATACACATGTTATTTGCTGGCATTCTGTGGGAAATCAATTATGGAATCAATTTATGAATGTGAATTCAAATTAGCTAATGTGATAACTGCCGACACAGCCAATCAAGACTCTTAATTTGCTCAACTATTTAAGTGTAATAATTATAACAAGTGTAATAATTATAACATGTCAGCCATGAGTGCATCGAGCCAGCATTAAACGTTTACAGCGATCGTCCAATCAGAGATGCTAATGAACAGATAAGCCAAAGCAAACCATTACACCTGACTAATTCCCTGGCTGCATTAGATAATTTGTTATTTTACGGCTTCTTTCATTTCACGTTGACAGTTTTTGCAAGTGCAAACTGATGTAAACCTGAACCGCAACAATGTCAAGAAAAACGGAACTAGTTCAATGACAAGTTCATTTCATGGCAAGTGCGTATGTTTTTCTAAATAACTCGTATTCGCGTTTTAATTACCAAACTGCGTCGGCTAATTTTCTACAGATATTTAGCCGACGCAGTTTGGTAATTAAAACGTGAATACGAGACTCTTCTAGATTCTAGACTCTTCTAGATTCGTGTAATGTGTTCAAAAAATGTGAAGGGTTCCACAAGGCGAATATATACGAGGGTAACATATTGTATTTCAAGTATTAATTTTCAAGCGACGATATGCTTTTCGGTCAGATGGACAGACGAACGGATATGCACAAACAAGCGAATGTACTCTGTTCAGATCTTGAACGAGTATTATAAAGCCAGGCGCTAAGTTTAATTGATAATTGTTAATTGCGTTATTAGCGAGTGATTGCTGTTGGCACTGCAACACTTGCAGAAATGCACAATTATGTGTGAATATATTTGCGTGAATCGTATTTGGTGTTTGTCATTCGAAGAATCGAGCTCACATATCAAGTGTGCTGCTGACATAGACACAACAATCAAATTATATTTAAAGTAAATATATCTAATTGCATCTTGGTTTCTGCTCACAATAATCATTAACAGTCGATGCCAAACGCATAAGCTCTTAATCTAACTGGCCAGTCTATAATAATGTTCACCTCGGCACCGTCAGTCACGTCCTGCTAGAGTTTCCTCAAAGACTTTCTTTTCTTAATCAGCGGCTGAGAGTGTGCATCAATTCTTGATAGATCACATTTGGCATGATATTCTTAAGACTAAATATGCAGACAGACCAGTTAGGCCTAAGCCAAAAGCTTAAATTTCAAATATAAAAACTAAATGCAGCTTGAAATTGATTGAGCTATAAAATGTATTAATATAGTTGAAAAAACTAAAAAAAAAAAAAAAAAAAAACTGCCATGTTTGGTTTTAGTTGGTTTAAGCTGGTTTAAAATTATCATATTAATAGAAAAGATCAAGGTGCTATCGATAACATTTCAAGGCTCTGCCTGACACTGACATTGACAGTCTGGCAATGCTGCAAAAAAAAAAAGCAAAAACCGTTTTAAATTTAGAACACATTTAAAATCAACTTCTGAAGCTGAAGCTTTATTTATGCATATATAAACTATTGCTTACAGCGAACAATTCTTTAAATACAAAAAAAAAAAATGCTGATTACCAATTTTAGACATTTATTAAAAAAAAAAAAGTAATAATAAAATATTGGTTATATTTCACAATGAGTAAGTACTGAGCTATTTGCAAAGCATGGGCAATGTGCAATGGGGCTCGGTTAGGCTGGGATTGTCCGAGTAGAGCGCAAAGGTCTTGGCATTCAAATCGAATAGGCCCATAGCAATAGTCTTCACTTCTTCATCGGTTCTGCCATTATCGCGCCACACGCAGAAGCAGCCGCCAGTGACGTCGCCCAGCATGTTACGGACATCCTGCTCGCTGGCCGGCGGCTTGTACTTGCTGAAGGCGCTCATGCGCGAGACGCTTGACTGAATCATCGGCTCATTGGCCTGATCCAAGAGGATGCGCTCGAATCTGTTTGAATAAACCGAATTGAATATGCTTCCAGCTATGGGCACGGTTACTGTACATACTGATTGGTGTGGTAATTATGACCGCCCAGCGATATCTCCTTGATGCTCAAGTGTGATTCGTTCTTTTTGTCCGGGTTCGGTGCCATTTCGATGTTGTAGAACATCTGACGTGGATCGCTGCAAGCCAAACAGAGCGAGTTAATTGATAGACTTGCATAATCCCATAGCACACTTACGATATAAATGATAAATTAATGGAACAGGCGTCGGCGGCGCCTACGCCGGCATCTGCCAGCACCCTGAAGGCGTCGTCTACGTTGCTTGTAGCGAGCAGAGCTCGGGTTAGGAAATGACGAGCTGTAAGTGGTCAGTAATTCAAGAATATATATGTATGATCGTATACGTAATTAATAATCGTATTTCGACTCTTACGCGTCTTGCCGCTGCGCAGCAGCTCGGCGCTAATTGTGTTGATACTGAAGACGAGCCCATGATGATTGTGACTCATGGTGTAGCCAGGCAGGTGTCCGGCATAGCAGAGGGACATAAAGTGTTCCTCCTTCACATTGTACTTGCCCTGCGGCTTGTCGCTAATGATGTGGGCGACCACAAAGTAATAATGATTCAGCGTCGCTGTGAGAGCATCCTCGGTGTGGCCCAGCAGGCGCTGAGGATAAAAACTCGATCATGACAGAGTCTTGAATATTTATTATAGCCTATTTTATGCTTACACAATGCTTATGATTAACAATAATCGTGGAGCAGCCCGTGGGTTGATTTTTGTTGCGCGGTTGATGCTTCATGGCCTGCGGCAGAATTTCGTCCAGATGCAACAAGAATAACTGCAAAATAGTTTCGTCGAGAGTTGCCCATAGCCGTTAATAATACATATCATAATATCGATGAGGCTTCATACGATAGCTAATGCGATGAGCTGTGTTTAGTGCACTAATATCGATAGCATTGTATCATATCAGTGGCTTTGTATCGATTAATTGAAAGGATGCGACTGGCAGTTATTTCAATTGTCATTTCAAAGCCGTTGAACGCTGACAAAATGATTAATTTATTATTAATGATTCATTGTCAAAACCAGATTTATTTTTTTCTTGCGGTGTCGTTTGAAGCCTAATAATGTAGCTAAAAATATTGCCAAAAATGATTAATGGCAATTTCTATTGTGTTTTTCTTTCAGTAGAGCCCAAAATACATTATTTTGAAAAAAGATAAATGATGAATAAATGATCAATTATTATGAGTCGCACGTACACCTGTAATTTGTTTGTCTTTTATTGTCGAAATTGTATTCATAATATAAATTTGTACACCAAATTCTGTATACAAAGTACATTGGAAATGTCAGAGAAAAGAAAAGGCAAATATTGTTAAATGGCCATCAAATTAAAACTGGTGCATTGACATCAGTCAATGAGCCAGCTGCCGACAGAGTCGATCAAGGCCATTAATTTGACCAACTGCATAAGAACAAGAATTATATAGAGCTTTTGACAGCTGCGAATTCCTTAAACCACATTAAAACGTCTAATCGTTTAGCTAATTAGAGATGCTAATGAGTGGATAAGCCAAAGCTAAACCATTACACCTGACTAATTTCCTAGCTGCATTAGATAAGTCTCTGTTCTAAGGCTTCCTACTTTGTCTAAGTGCGAATCGATGTAAACCAGAACCAGAACTGCATGGCCCATGCGTTATATTCTGCTGCATAAATACCTTGACGAAGTAACTGTAAGAAAATACACTAACTGCAGGTATTACGCAGTCGACTATACCCGACTGCAACTGTATTTGTTGTTTTTTTTTTTTKTTTTTTTTTTTTTTTTTTTTTTTGTCTCGTTAATATGTGTGAGAAATAGTTATAAGCAGCTCAAATATTTACTTTTAATTAATATGCAATTGAAAACAATTGCATTATTGCATGGCATTATCATAGCCCAGTGATAATTATGTTTGCAGTCGTTCGTTATAGTTGACTGCTAACTGTAATTATTATTAAATAAATGTTATAGACAATTATGTGTGAATACTTAGTTGTTTGATTGTCATTGAACATTGACAACTTGCAACACATGCAACATGCAACATGCAACGTGGATCACGCAACAGCGCGCAACGACTTTGGCATTAGCTTCACCGTTAGAATCGCTCAAGTTGAAGTGCGCTGCCAACGTTCCGTCCGCGAGCCAATAATTATTAATTAAACGTTTACTTTAAACGAGGCTTTCAGAGTACATCGGCTTTGCTAGTATATATGTGACAGGGTAATGGCTGGGTGGCTGATCTTATAGAGAAATACATATACATATATGTATGTATATTCTTGATCTTGATTTTTGGTGTAGCTATTCCATGGTCTATTCTATTCTATGGTCCACTATAAGAGAGGAGAACCTATACGAGTCTGGGATTGGCTGATATAGCAACTCGTAAAGATAGACTTTATTTCACATAATCGATAACAAAAAAAAAAAAAACGATTAAAATCGAGCCATAGCTGACAAAGCAACTCGTAAAGATCGACTTTATTTCAAATAATCGATAACCAAAAATCGATTAAAATCGAAATAAAATTTCTATACTTTCTAAACGAACTCATTCTTCAATTATTAATTAAATTAATGAATTAAAATTTTATTTATTTCAAATAATCGATAACATTTTGAGTTTTTCAGAAATCGAGTAAAATCGAATTCACCATTTCTGTTTTTTCTTGTTAGCAAACTTTTTGATTTAGATACTTGAAATGGAATTCCAAAGCGGGATCACAGTCATTGTACTGCAGTCAGGGTATCTTCTAGTCAGGAATGCCCAACTGAAAGCGTACTTGCTATTCGATAACTGTAATAAATACATATTTGTATTTACGGCCAGTTAATATTTAGCGACTGCCAATGTGCTAATTATGCCAGTTAACAAGCGATCTGTATAATTGTGTCATGGGATCTGGATCTGGAGCTGGATATGGATATGGATTTGGATTTGATTAATTAGTTACCTTATGGAACTCTACTTCGGCGCCATCGGCCACGCCCTCCAATTCACGTATATATTGCGGAAAGCTGCATTTAACCGATTCCAGCGTTTCATTATATATTTGCCCTGAAACAAAAGAAGATCACAAGAAACGAAAAACGAAGAGAATGAAAGAAAACATATATAAAAAATATAAAAAAACAATGAGATAATGGAAAAGTTGAAGCGTTTTGTTGATGGAGTACTACTCACGGCCTTTTGCGGTGCTGTAGAGGGGTAAGTAGGTCTCGTTCAGTGGCTGCGATAAGATCAAAAAGTTCTTGATCATCGAGCCGAAAGTGCGACCCTGTAAAGCAATTAGGTATGTGTTCGCTTCATTATTATTATTATAATTATAATTATGATGATGTGTATGATGATGAATGTCGAATGGAAACTTTCTAAATACTTCATACTTTTTATGCTAATGGACAGTCTAGTTTAAAATTAAAAAACAAAAACAAAATAACAAAAAATTGTATATAATAAATTGAAAATACAAAAAAAAAAAGGCATAATCGATCACGACTGATCGCAAATAGCAACAACAACAACAGCAACAACAATTTGAATAAATAGTTATTGTTAGTCGCTATTGTTGCCAGGTTGTAAGTTTTGGTCCATACGCTCGCTGTCTTGGCTGGAACACCTCACGGCCCCTCGCCCATTTGACAACCTCGAGTCGCAGGCGAAGCGTCTGACAGCGTCTGAATTCCGGGCCTGCATGCTAATTGCGGTGCGCCCTTGATATTGGCCATTTGTGTGCAATTCCGGTTCAAAGCCAATTCAATGGCTGAGCAAGAGTGTGTGTGTGTGTGTGTGTGTGTGTGTGTGTGTGTGTGTGTGTGTGTGTGTTGGAGTTTAGTGAAGGCTAAACAGGAACTGGGTCACGAATTGGCATAGCCAACGCCTACACAAGCAGCTAACCCTGACTACCAGCAGGCTAAATCGGCTTGGCTGCAGCTACTATACCTGCATATATATATGTATATATATATAGAGAGATTGACTTTAATCTATATAGCATTTCCCTCAAGGGTTAGACGACAAAGAAAAAGCTGCATTACTACAGTCAACTAGTCAACAACCGATTGTCGCCCTGCTTATCAAAATCAGCGTTTTATCTTTATGTGTCACATACAATATAGAGAGGGAGTATATATGTATATAGAAATATTTACATATATATGTATGTAATTGCATGAACTGATAAGCTAGAGCAGATAGACTCTAGTACTCAACTCAGCTGGAATCCAGCGCTAATTAAAGCAACAGCTCATAGAGATCTTATGGTATCACTATAGATATACATTTAGGTATATAGATATAATACAGAGCAGATTAGCTGGAGAGTTATTAGTATATATATAGATATTTAGGTATATAGATATAATACAGAGCAGATTAGCTGAAGAGTTATTAGTAGAGCTTAGAAATCTCAAAAGACTTTCAAATAATGTTTAACAATATAAAACGTTGTTCATTTGCCATCTACTATATTCCTTTTTCTTTAGCTAAATTGCACTTGGTATCAAATCTTATGGAAGGGCTTATATGAAATGCTCCACGTCTAGATACTCTGCCTGGCTAATTTTGTATTTAATATATAAATTTCCTCTCAATTCTATCAATAGATTTATAGGTGATAGATGATAATGTGAAATAATGTGCTCAATTACGAGCAATATTATTCTAAATTTGATTAACAGATTATATAACTACATTATATACTACAATTATAGGAAAATCGCTCTAAAGCAAGCTACAACTACACAATTCTAAAGAAGTTAGTTAGATCATTAGTCGAATATATGTGCATATATATAGCGTAAATTTTCAGTTTGAATTGACAATTTCGAATGCATTCGGAATTCGATAANTATAGATAGTCAGTCTATCTGTCCGTTTTTTGAGCTCATCGATCTCAGAACTTTAAAAGCTAGACAAAAAAATCGATAGCTATGCTCATTTAAGTGCTATCGATTGAAAACCTCATACAAAATCAGTTATTATTTTATATCTGGCGTAGCTTTAGAGCCAATTCTCTGTAGCTTTCATTTGAAATGTTCAATAATTTGATTTGTATTGAAATTATGATGAAATCAGTCTTTAATTAGGCGCATTAATTATTCATAATCATTCACTCATTTATCGCAGTAGCCGTGCCAAAGCAATCCATTTGAGCTAATGACAGCTCGAAGTTTCCCCGTTCTAGGCATAAGCAATCTAAAAATTGTACTGTTTGGATCAATTGAAAGTTTAACTTAACTTAAAAATTTAGCTAGCTCAAGTAGCTCAAGTGTGTGCTCGAGGTCTCTCCCAGCCCATCCAGCTGCACCCTCCTCCTCCTCCTGATACGTTTCTAATTAAGCTTTGCGTGACTTTTCGACTCCAAGGCAAGACTGCGTGTGCCTCTGTATGTGTATGTGTGTACGTATGCACTATTATAAGGGTGCAAAGGCGAACAGGTGAACCGGTGGACAGGTGGACAGGTGGACAGGTGCAAGAGTGCGATTGCTGTGTGCTGCTTACCATATCGAAGCCGACCTCATAGTGTGTGCCGCGCGTATAGAGAACGGGTATCGCCTGGCGACGGGGCAATATCCTGCCGGACGACATGCTCGATGACATTTGGTGGGCTACCGGTGAGGTGCACATGGCTTCCTGGTCGTTCGTACTCGTCTATGTGCTCTGGATCGTTTATCGCTTTACGCGCTATTTGGCTATGAAATGCGAGCAAGATGATCAATAAAGACTTACATTACTATTTGTGTGCGTGTGTGTGTGTACTGTGCCATTCGCTGACCAGTGCATGGGACTCACTCTCTCTCTCTCTCCCTCTGCTCTATTTTGTTTGATATATATTTTATATTTTATATTTCTTCTCTCATTTCAATGCATTTCATTTTCGCGAGCCCCACGAAACGTGAATGAAATGACAAAAATCACAGCAGAAAAAAAAAATAAATAAACATTCTATAAATAATAATTCCGTGGGAAATTTAAATTGCAAATGCAATTCGCGAAAGATGAGACTACCGACAACAAACAGATGATGGGGCAGAAAGAGAAAGAGAGAGAGAAATAAGTATGAAACAAAATAAAACAAAATTGAATAATAAATACATTTCACAAAATAAACGGCGAACGTTTAAACAACGGAGTTAATAATTTCTTTAAACACGGACACGCACGCACACACTCACGCCAACAGGCAGATGCTCGCAATGTAAACAAATAGTACGAAAACAACAACAACAACAACAATAAAAAACAAACAGAGTTTAAGATCGGATTCAAGCCAAGCTTTTTAAAATAATGTTCTAAAGCGCTTGAACGCAGAATTCAAACTGAATTGGCTATGTTTTGGCGGCGGCATTACGAACTGCCGAACAACCACCCAGCAGCAACAACAACAACAACAACAGCAATAGCAATGGCAACAACAACAAGCAAGCGATACGAAGACAGCGGACGAAGCGTCGCGAGGCGTCGACAAGCGGCAATCGCTGCGATAACGGAGCAATAAGCAGCGGCCGCACAGACAGCAACAACAGCAGCAGCAACATCAACAACAACAACAACAACTACAACAGCTAGAGCAGCCCCACTAAGGCTGCGACGCCAGCAGCGCTGCCAACGCTTATCCAGAGATGGAAACCAAACAAATTCGTTTCGTTTCTACATCGAATGGGAATTCGCGTTCGAATTGGCATTCGAATTCGAATTCGAATTCGAATTCGTATTGGAATTAAAGTTGATATTGAAATTCAAATTCAAATGGCAATTCGAATTCAATAACTGTTGCGCTTCGATACACAATCTTATTTATTTAATATATGTTAATCATATTTCGATATCGACAAATTTATAGCAAACTTATTGAATATGTATGATATATGTAGCTTAATTAGTTTCGATACTGTGAAAATGTATCCACTCTATAAAGAGAGACAATCGATCATTATAATTTGTGAGTTTTTATTAGCCTATTATGGTATCATTAACGTATTATTGTATGTGTATGCCTGGGCGCAGTATTACGTATGACAGCAAGTAGACATTGTTTTTCTGCTCTCCTTAAGTCGATTACGACTAATAGGGTTTCCCTTTGACAAAGAGACGGTCTGCACTATTTATAGATCTATTGACGTTTGCCTCCTTCCTTTTTTGTTTAACCTTAAACTTTTCAGACCCATTGTATTTTTTTTTTTTTAAGTATTTTTGTATATCAACCTGTTAAAGAATTTTAAATATACTATTTGATACAAAGATACCAGTTCCTGATTCTGTGTGTGTGTTTTTTTTTTACCAAACCTAAACATCATTTGAATAACCTGTATGAATGGGGAAACCCTAAAACTGTTGATAGCTTGAGTTAGGTAAGTAACGCACATGAAACAGTTAACAGGTA